ATTTGCGCTTACAAAAAGCGCTGCGCGTAGCAATACTGTCCAGCAGAAGTAACGCAGCAATTGCAACTGCTACATGAAGCCGCTACGTAGCGCTAGCTTCGGCTAAACACACCCATTGGCTCCACCCCTGTCAGTAAATGCCGGGAAATTCAAACAAATTGGTCAAAAGTTGCCGTGTTTTTTATATTATTTATTCTTTATTGTCCTTAAATTAAGTACATAATTATATTGGATTATACTGAATATCCATTTACAAGTAAAAAAACTTTGCAGGTTAGAGATAACTAACTCACCTGTAAAATGGCAAAACTGGCTTCTTCTCGTCACGTTTGCGTTTGTATGTCGACGATTTGCATCTATAAACAAAGCAATACATTTTTGATGAAGGAAAAAATCAAACTCAGCATAAACACATTAACAGCAAACACTAACTACGCAGTAAATCCACGAGATAGTAAACGGGAATTTCACGCTGATTTCACCATTGACGCCATTTTTACGGAAGTCTCCCCACTCCTGCAGAAAATTACTGACAGGGGGGGAGCTTACACGTTAGTAGCTTAGCGACACGTCTAAAGTTAGCTACTAGCACTACTAGCAGTCCATATATTATATAGTCAAAGGTCCCTCTCTGTTCTTGTTTAATGACGCATGCGCAATAACATCAATGGTAGTAGAATTTCTTTACTCTTTTACCTATTATTCTTATTACTTTTGTAAAAATATAATCAATTTATTTAACTTTCTATTTATAAAGAAAATAGTTATAAAACAGTTATTTGCACTAAACGTAAAATGGGGACTGCGTCTGCCCAGCAGTATCAGCTTTGGAGGTTTGCGTCACCGCAAACATCCTCTAGGGTGTCTTGAAGAGAGAGTCTTGGTTTCCCTCCTCCGAGGAGTATGGGCCCGATCAGCGGGGTGGGGATCTGCGTGTCATCCTAGTAATGGAATTCCCGCGTCCCCGCCTATTCAAAGGGCATAGTGGCACACACATGGTGGTTTTAGTGGGTATACCCTTCTCTCTTGCGGGAGAGAAAGGGAGAGTCCCACATAACCCCGACCCCTCCCTCAGAGGTCGGGGTATCCGTAATGGATTTCCACCATGTACCAAAAAAAAGGTTAGGCTAGGCTCAAGGATCGAGGTGGGTACAACCGTCAAGTACCTGGGTATACACCTCGATCCGAAGTGGCGCTTCGACGAGCACTTTGCTCGTCTGGCTCCTCGGGTTCGCAAAGTAGCCAATTCCTTGGCCCGACTACTCCCGAACCTTGGGGAACCGAAGCAGAAGGACCGTCGTCTCTATGTCAACGTGGTCCACGCGGTGGCCCTGTATGGGGCACCGCTCTGGGCGGGAGTCGCAGCAGGGGCAGGAGCGCGAAGCAAGTTTGCCCAGCTTCGCGCCGCGCAGAGGATGGTTGCTCTGCGCGTTATCTGCGGCTTCCGAGACGTGGCCACGGAGACGGCGGGTGTGCTGGCGGGGGTACCCCCTCTGGCCCTCCTGGCAAAAATGTACGCGACGAAGTACGCTCGTCGCGTCGAGCTGCTACAGAAGGGTCTTGTAGAGAACAACCTGCGGGAGGCCCTCGTCAACTCGGAGCGCCAGGCCCGACAACAGCTGCTCCTGGACTGGGAGCAGCATTTGGACGAGCCTCGGGCGGCAGTCCAAAAAGTTGTTGCGGTGATCCGACCCCACCTGCAGGTGTGGTTGCAGAACGGGGTCGGACACCTCACCTACAGGGTGACACAGGTGCTCACCGGGCATGGTTGCTTCGGTGAGTACCTGTGTCGCATAGGCAAAGAGCCAACGGCACATTGCCATGCGTGCGGGGCAGTCAGCGACTCGGCGGAGCACACCGTGGAGGAGTGTCTACGGTGGGCAGACGACCGCCGAGAGCTGGCTGCCAATATCGGAGTCGACCTCTCCCTGAATGGCCTTCTTAAGGCACTTGCTTCCGGGGCAGAGGAAAAGTGGAGAGCGGTAGTCTCCTTCTGTTCCACTGTGATGGAGCAGAAGGAGGCTGCCGAGAGGGAGCGGGAGCGTGCTCCCGTCCCCCGCTGGGGACCTCCGGGGCGTGTGCGAGCGGGTTGTCGGGCGGCACCCGTTTCCCGTGCCCGTCCCCGAGGGTCCAGGTCCCCCGCTGCCAAAGTAGCAGGAATCCCCTCTCCTCCCATGACGGGAGGAGAAGGGGATTGGGGCGGTGGGCGTTGACGGCTCCCGCCATTAACCCTCCGTCCCAGCGGGACATTTACGAGTGGGTTACGCGCGGTGACTAATTCCGGGGTGGTACCGTCCACCCCGAAGATTGGCTCTAACTACGTCACCGCGGGGACCGTGACAGGTCAGGATGGGGGTCCTGGCCTGTTTTGCACACGGTCCCGAAAGTGGTGACATCGTAGTGTGTGTCCTGCGGTGTCACCAAGAATTATGAGAATCAGATGGGGGAGGGAACTTCTTCCCTCCCTCCCTCGAGAAGTTTTACGCTCGAGGGAGAGACCTGCGCGTATCCTCTGACAGGAATTCCCGGGTTCCTCCCCGCCAAGAGCCAAGTGGTGACACGCCATGGTGGTTTTAGTGGGTATACCCCTTCTTCTTGCGGGAAGGGGGGGGAGTCCCACATAACCCTGGCTCTCTCCCCCGAGGACCAGAGTATTCGTAATGGATTTCCACCACGTAAAAAAAAAGAAGGTTAGGTTAGGCTAAACTTCATGCACAAAATTGATTTAAATACCGTAGTAAACATTTTTATCACCTTTTTTAATGACGATTTCTATTACTCTAATCAGCTATCAAACGTTTTGCTGCGTACAGATATTACTAATTTTTAAATGAATTATCTCAGCATTGATGAGCTATGAAATCTATTTATGCCAGAATCTTGTTATTTTAAACAAGTATTTTAAAATCGCGTACACGGGATTAGTGATATAATATAATTCATACGCTTGATAAATTAAATTAATAAACATATTTTAGTTAACAATTAAGATTCATTAGGCTCCTTGAAACTTCAACGAAAAATATATACGATTATAAGGCCCGGTTTCACAATTGACGGTTAACTCGAATTAACGGAAGCCCAACTTGCTGAACTCGGTGTAACGCATCTTTTCTTCCTAAACATGAACTGTGATTGGTTAGCACAGATTTGACAAAGAAGATTGAACGCGTTAAACCGAGCTCAGCAAGTCGAACTTCGGTTAATTCGAGTTAACCGCGAATTGTGAAACCGGGTCTCAGAGTCGATCGCAGGATATTTGTGCGGATATATGCATGTACAGTGCGGAGCACCATATCGTGCGCCGTGAGGGGAAGTAGTTCTCCTCCGGCCGCCTCCTACTATCACGCGCCAGCGACCCGAGATTTAATCCATATATCGGCACGGTTACCGATGATACATACCGACGCGGTTACCAATAATACCGACAGGCATATG